AAAGTTGGAGATTTAAGAGAAATTAAAAGAAAATAGACAAATTACATACCACCAAAATATCTCCTAAAAGGAAAAGAAAATCTGTCTGAAAGGAGAATATTTTTTTTCGTGGATCCCGGGCTTGGGGGGGGGGGGGGGCGAGCCTGGGAATGAGGAGAGGGGATTGGGGGGGGGGGCAATGGCACATGATAGATGACAAGGATGTATGGTATCTGATTACTAATTTCCTTCGATCTTCTGTCGTGCTGTGTAACCTTTGGAAGGGTACGGGGAAAGGGAGGGGGTGGGGGAGGTGGGGGTGGCATTAATCACAATTTAAAATGTTTGCTTTCGTCTGCTTCGATCAATTGTTTGACTTGTTCCATTTTGTATTTTGTCCAGCACTAATACTTACAGCTGTACTTATATCCTTAAAATGTTATAGTGCCATATCTAAAACAGTCGCACATGGAAAGAACGGTAGTAATTCATATGAACGCTTGAAAAATATAGAGAAGTACAAAATATGTTTTCTTCATGCCAGTAATGCCTCTTTTACGCTGAGGTGATCACTGGTATAGTAATCTGTCTTTCTACTCTCGAACTCTCAACTGTAAAGTCTGTGGTTCAAATCCCGTCAAGGGCTCGACGTTGTGTCCTTGGGAAAGGCACTTTATACGACATGTTCTTTCTTCACCCAGATGGGAATGGGTGCTTAGCTATAATCTGAAAAATCTTGTCCGGTTTTTTTTTCGTGTTTGAGCGTGTGCAATCAGCAGTTTGCGCTGAATACTTGCTGTTATTATTATTGTTAGTAGTAGTAGTAGTAGTAGTAGTAGTAGTAGTAGTAGTAGTAGTAGTAGTAGTAGTAGTAGTAGTAGTAGTAGTAGTAGTAGTAGTAGTAGTAGTAGTAGTAGTAGTAGTAGTAGTAGTAGTAGTAGTAGTAGCAGCAGTAGTAGTAGTAGTAGTTGAGTAGTTTTATTTTGTTATATAATTAGTATTATTAATATACTTGTATTATTATTGCCATTATTATTATTATTATTATTATTATTATTATTATTATTATTATTATTATTATTATTATTATTATTATTATTATTATTATTATTATTATTATTATTATTATTAATAATAATAAATATAATAATAAATAGCATTTGTATAGCGCATATCCCCGCTCAACTGCAGGCTCTATGCGCTTTACGCTATATAATAATATTATTATTATTGTTGTTGTTATTGTTGTTATTATTATTATTATTATTATTATTATTATTATTATTTTGTTGCTTTTTATATATATTTTAATTTATAGAATAGAAAAGGTCTGGTGGGGAAAGAGCTCAGCTGTTCACTAAAGGAGCACTGCTTATCAGAATGACATCTTGTTTTTATTCAACATAATAGATCTGATGCATATATGTCCAACAACAGAAATGAGCTCACCAAGGTTTTTATGTAGTAAGTAGGATAAGAAAACACAAACTTTTGATGGAAACTTGATAATTTGAAGCCTTATGACATTATAAAATAAATGCCAATGTTTCGCCCTGATCAATGTATCGATGATGAAGGATTAATCTTTGTATCAGCTGCGTAAAAACAGGAAGCGTCAGTCAAATTCCTCAATGGAACTGACAAGTGGCTGAGCATGGAAGGTAAAGCAGCCATGGACCAAAGACTGTGCGTAACCGCGATAGTTTTTGTACTTTAACGTACCTTCCATAACCTCAGTATTATCTAAAAATGTACGCTTTATGTGTACCCGCCATAATCGCTGTTTTATGTGACATATTTGATAGTATGCTTTTGTACGTACCCTTACTTACATCTGTATTACCTAACCTATCTTCTTGGCGTATTTGCCAATGAAAGTCGAGTTAAAATGCTTCTTCATCTGACAAGGAACTATGTTCTCTCCCTTCGGAATGCTCTGGCTTTATAGCATGTCTTGAACAGCGCGAGGAAACCACAGACGTACTGCCATCCGTGAATACAGGACATTCCAATAAAAAGAGCTATGTGCAGGGGCGAAGGCTGACTTATTTGACAGGGTAATCAAAGTGAAACGGGATCAGATATGGCCTTTAGATATGACACAAGAATCTTACTCGAGGCGGCGACTCTGAGTAATGAATGAAAACAAATCCGGAATTCATATTGTATGTTCAACCGCCAAAATAATCGGGAAAGTAACTTATTAAATATCAGTTCCAACTAAAATTAAATTTAACTTTAGATGTGAATACATAAACACAAAGCAAAGAAGCAGAGATGTCAGTACTAGATCTATATGTTATAGATCTACCAGTGAGTCTAACTCTTTGGTAGAACATGACAATTATCATTTTTTAAATTTCACATTTGGCTGTTTTTGTTAGCCTTTCGCGGCCGGGAGCTGGTGTCATAATCGAGGTCACGATCTGATTATAGGACGCTAAAAAGTCGAGGAAAAAAAGCAAACACTTGCAGCAGTGAAAAGATTGTTAGGAGTTAGTTCCCCTCACATTTGTGAGGTAGACTCGACCAGTGTTAGTTAGCTTACATAATCAGGGCTTGTGATTGATTATAACTGTGACCCCAAAGGGGTGAATAGGGTATATGTGGCAATGAAACAGCTTAGACTGCTATGCACATGTTCCCTTCAACTCTATTGGTAGACTCTTCCAGCCTCACTTTAAGCTTACTTAATCAAAGTTTGCGACTGCTTATGGAGTGGCCCGAGAGGGGTGAGGAGGCTATTTCTGTGGCCGTGAAACCGTTTTGAATGTTAAGCATATTGTTCATTGTTGATTACGAACGTCTTTGGACATTTAATTTAAGAGGTTTACGTTTATGGATGAATTTGACAGCGACTATGTTTCAAAATTAGGAAGGGAAGCAGTGATTATTTGATTATATAGACGCTTCGCCCCTGGCTATGTGGCCCCAAAATATGTTCTTATCTGTGTGTCAAATGCCCCATACAAAGATGCATGACAAGACGATAAACTCCAGTAAACATCAACCTATCTAAGATGAAGTCCACCTTTTTCTCAAATTGAAATTTAGTGAAGTACCCAACTTTAAATTAAAACTTGAGAAAAATTGTGTTCTAATGTTAAATTTTAAAACTAGTTTGGTAAAGGTTTATGGCTCCTTTCTACACAGATAGGCTTTTTAAAAGGTGGGGCCTCCTAATTCAACATCCATCCCAGATAAGACCGAGCCTATTGGTCAGAAAACAATCCGAGTTCAAAACCACCCTGTTGGAGATTCCAGCCTGGGTTGTCCGCTCCATCACAGTCCGACACCATACCGACTGAGCTAACCCAGCGCCCAATTATAATAATAGACTTTCCATACAGAGCACTCTTGTAAGGCGCCTATTGTAAGGATAACACAGTGTAGAAGTCTGCCTCCTCTCTGTCCCTCCTCCCTTGCTTTTTTTCCTCAATCCACAATCAACCCCCCCCCCCCCCATATACATACATACAAACACACACACACACACACACACACACACACACA